GGAAACTTTGATCCTCTGGGAGGGGGTGAGTCTGTTCAGTACCTGCCTGCCGGGGGTGTGTTGCTGGAAGAGCGGGATGTAAAGGACAATCTGTTATTCATTCTTGGACTGAAGTGTGGAGGGCATGGCCTAGCGTGGACTACTGCCCCCGCCAGAGGTATACTGTCAGTGTAAATTTGTGGAACACTGTAAGGAACTGAACAGTGCTATACCTTCCTTACACCTTGAACGCAAATGTGTGGAATAATATATACTATATATATGTTCGTGTGTGTGCATAGTATGTAGACTTTTTCTAGTACAGTACTGTGAACGCCAGGTGTAGTGGTGTGGCGGACTAGTGTTTATATATATTAGGAAATTAATGTGTTGGAAGTGTTGTGTGTGGGTGTAGAGGCACCGTGACACTGATGTCCCCACGATTCTCCCTGGCTGGCCGGTGCCAAGAGCGCTCACACAGGAGTAGCTAACGTGTGGTGGAGGGGAGGCGAGGCACCATGCTCAGCAGACACCCGTGCCTCTAGCGCCACCACGACTCTCATTATCATCGTCACCCGCGCCAACAGATCACCGCACTACCTACTACTACTACCTACACTTTTTAGTACAAATATCTTCTCCTGTCTTGGCTATTCTCCCCCCAAGATGGCTTACGGGTACGACTATAGTCAGGTGAGTCAGGTCACCCCACCCACCCATCCATGATTATGTTAAATGTAAGGCCTAATATCTGGGGGTCATAGTGTGTGTGTGTGTAAAGATCACACACACACACACACACACAGGTTCCTAAAGCTGCCATCTTCCCCACAAACCACCCTCCTTCCTCAAAGAAGTGTAATTTCTCTTAAATAATAAAAAAATACATTTAATAAAATACACTTGACACTAATTTCAGAGTAAAAAAATCTGTAGGTTAAGGATTATTTCTCTACAGATTTGATTCTTTTCTCTAAAGTGTAAGTCTGGATCATTTTTAGTCATTTTATTTATTACTCTGATTATCTCATTATTGTGTATTGCTATATAAGGCTTTGTCCATATATAAAGATCGTCTTGAGAAAACATTTAAGACGTCTGTACTTCTTGGAATGGATAAAATAGAGATTTATCTTTATGGAAACTCTCCTTTTTTAATATGTCATGTATATTACTTGTAAGACGTGTATATTATATATGTACTATATAATTGTGTCCTATAAGACGTGTGTTATTATACATTCTTTATAATTATGACCTACACCCTGTATAAGACATATACTGTATATATGGAATGTATATGTCCTATAAGACGTGTGTACATACTTGTCAGTGTATCCCCGTACAACACACACCACCACCGTGAAGGAGTTCCCCTAAGAATGTGTGGCTGTTGGTCTGACCGCTTACAACATAGTGCTCTTATAAATAGTGTGGCGGAGGAGCCTTTGTTGACCCTAGTGTGGCTGGCTGGCTGTGTCGATGGGGTGATGGATGAATGGTCGGTTTGCACAACTCCCTGTCCCCTCCCCCTCCCCCTCTTCCTCACTCTCTCCCCTCGTCCCTGTTCCTCCTTCCTCTACCCCTCTTCCTCTCAGTTGACACCTACAGTATACAGTCCCTTGCAACACGTGACAGGTACAGTATACAATCCCTTGCAACACCTACAACCAGGTACAGTATACAATCCCTTGCAACACGTGACAGGTACAGTATACAATCCTTGCAACACGTGACAGGTACAGTATACAATCCCTTGCAACACGTGACAGGTACAGTATACAATCCCTTGCAACACGCGACAGCTACAGTACATAGTCCTTGCAACACGTGACACCTACACAACATGATCCCTTGCAACACGTGTAGCTACGGTATACAGTCCCTTGCAACACGTGACAGCTACAGTATACAGTCCCTTGCAACACGTGACAGCTACAGTATACAGTCCTTGCAACACGTGACAGCTACAGTATACAGTCCTTGCAACACGTGACAGCTACAGTATACAGTCCCTTGCAACACGTGACAGCTACAGTATACAGTCCTTGCAATACGTGACAGCTACAGTATACAGTCCTTGCCAACACGTGACAGCTACAGTATACAGTCCTTGCAACACGTGACAGCTACAGTATACAGTCCTTACAACACGTGACAGCTACAGTATACAGTCCCTTGCAACACGTGACAGCTACAGTATACAGTCCCTTGCAACACGTGACAGCTACAGTATACAGTCCTTGCAACACGTGACAGCTACAGATCAGTCCCTTGCAACACGTGACCTTCTGCAGTATACAGTCCCTTACCTTGTGACGCTACAGTGCTCAGTCCCTTGCAACACGTGACAGCTACAGTATACAGTCCTTGCAACACGTGACAGCTACAGTATGCAGTCCCTTGCAACACGTGACGCTACAGTGCCTTGTCACTTACGTGACAGCTACAGTATACAGTCCTTGCAACACGTGACAGCTTCTGATATACAGTCCTTGCACACGTGACAGCTACAGTATACAGTCCCTTGCAACACGTGACAGCTACAGTATACAGTCCTTGCAACACGTGACAGCTACAGTATGTCCTTGCAACACGTGACAGCTACAGTATACAGTCCCTTGCAACACGTGACAGCTACAGTATCAGTCCTTGCAGACACGTGACAGCTACAGTACAGTCCTTTCCAACACGTGACAGCTACAGTATACAGTCCTTGCAACGTGACAGCTACAGTATACAGTCCTTGCAACACGTGGCTAACTTCCAGTATACAGTCCCTTGCAACTGACAGCCTACAGTATACAGTCCTTTCAACACGTGACAGCTACAGTATACAGTCCTTGCAACCAACCTACAGTATACAGTCCCTTGCAACACGTGACAGCTACAGTATACAGTCCTTGCCAACACGTGACAGCTACAGTATACAGTCCTTGCAACACGTGACCTTTACAGTATACAGTCCTTGCAACACGTGACAGCTACAGTATACAGTCCTTGCAACACGTGACAGCTACAGTATACAGTCCCTTGCAACACGTGACAGCTACAGTATACAGTCCTTGCAACACGTGACAGCTAAGTGTATACAGTCCCTTGCAACACGTGACAGCTACAGTATACAGTCCTTGCAACACGTGACAGCTACAGTATACAGTCCCTTGCAACACGTGACAGCTACAGTGTAAGTCCCTTGCAACACGTGACAGCTACAGTATACAGTCCCTTACAACACGTGACGACAGTATACAGTCCCTTGCAACACGTGACAGCTACAGTATACAGTCCCTTGCAACACGTGACAGCTACAGTATACAGTCCTTGCAACACGTGACAGCTACAGTATACAGTCCTTGCAACACGTTGACAGCTACAGTCCCTTGCAACACGTGACAGCACAGTCCTTGCAACACGTAGCCTACAGTCCTTACAACTTGCAGCTGCCACAGTCCCTTGCAACACGTGACAGCTACACAGTATACAGTCCTTTGATGCTACCCTCCCTCCCCCAACACACAGGCATTAGGTATTAGAGATATGTAGTATTTCTAGTCAGCTGTAAATGGGTACAATGTGGCGGTAACCTGTGGTATTGGAGTGTGGTAGGTGTGGTTTCCTTGGCCGCCTTGACACGAGAGAGAGAGGAAGGGAGAGGGAGAGAGAGAGGACCCTGGCATGACCCACCAGTTAAAAATGTTAGAAGAAATTCCTGCTGAAGGTGGGGGGGAGGAAGGGGTGGGACTGTAGGAGGGTGGTATGTCCGTCCTTCTACAGGTATTCTCCTCTGCCTTTATACCTGTATTTACTGCTCCTGTCGTGCTGTCGTTCTCACCACCACCAACTCCTCCCCCTCCTGACCCTCCTCTCCACACCCACCTTCTCTCACCCAACACGTAGGATCACTCGCTATAGGCACCCACTTCTTACCACCATCAGTATAACTCTCTCTCTCTCTCTCTCTCTCTCTTTTTTTCTTTTCACACCACTACACCACCACCACCTGTAACACACACACACACACACAGCATTTTCTGTTAGTGTTTATTGTTGTCCATACTAACACATAATGACACCTTGATGCTTTAGGGAACACTGCGGTGGTTTTATGTGGGTAGAAGACGGCCAGTAAAATCATGAACAACTTGTAGGTGTGTGTGTGTGTGTGTGTGTGTGTGACTCGACACCCACTTGTTAGTCGTGTGTAATATGTAGTCTAGTGACAGCGTTAAGTTATTACCTCCACTCACTACTACCACTGTCACTCACCACCACCACTGTCACTCACCACCACCACCATTCGAAGGAAACTCTAAGAGACACCTACCACTACTCACTACCAACACCACCACCAACACCCCCCACCAGCACCACCATGCCCCCACCCCCCACCAACACCACCAACACCCCACCAACACCACCAACACCCCCACCAACACCCCCCACCCCCACCAACACCACCAACACCCCACCAACACCCCCACCCCCCACCAGCACCCCCTGCCCACCCCCACCAACACCCCCACCTGCTTCCCACTTCCCACCAGTTCCCCCACCAACACCACCACCAACACCCCCACCAACACCCCACCCTCACCCAGCACCCCCCCACCAGCACCCCCCCTGCTTCCCCCCACCAACACCCCCACCAACACCCCCCACCCCCCACCAACACCCCCCCCCCCCACCAACCCCCACCCCCCCACCAACACCCCCACCAACACCCCCACCAGCACCCCCCACCCCCTGCTTACCACTGCAATTTCTATTCTTGATTATTATATTTTTTTTATTACTATTATTGCTGCTGTTATTATAATTTTTATTGAACACACTCTTTAGAACACTCGATCACTTTCACACACACACACACATCTGTCAGTATTGCTAACGTGTTTTTGTGTTGCCTAACGCTTAATGACTGTTGTTGTGCACTTCTTTGCTGACTGTGTTGTTGTGTTACGTTAACTGACTGTGTTGTTGTGTTGCTAACGTTGACTGACTGTGTTGTTGTGTTGCAG